GTCGGTAGGGTTATAGGAAAGAAACATATTTTTAGGCCTTCTTTCTTGTCAAATCATCATCGGCCCAAAATCATTTCAAGGACCCATTTAGTCATACTATACACGAGTCCTTCCGTTTGTACGTCGGCGCAGGACCGATGCTAATTAAGGAATGAAGCTTATTTCAACTTATGTTTCCGATATAACATAACTTGGGGTAGTTTACGCTCTATAAATAAGCGTAAACTGCCCCAAGTTTTGTTATATCGGATAACATAAGTTGAAATAAGCTTCATTTCTTATAATTTAATTTCAATGTAGACAATGAGACAATATTTCCTCCAGAAAAAGGCTTCAAAGTGAGCATTATTTTAAAAGTAAGGTCAAGCGGAGTGATATGTTTTTAATGTAACTCATTGTGATGTAGGCAAGTTATGTTATAAGAAATGGAAAAAACGTTTAACCAATCAAATGACGCGTTACAACTGAAATTAAATTATTTTCGAACACTGCTTTAACTCTTTACAACTTAATGAATTGTTTTGCAACATACACTGAATCCTCGTGTCATAGAAATATTACGTTACCATTTCCCTGCAAGCATTTTACAGCGGGGTACAAGTTTCTCTAAAGTTTAGCATAAATAATATTATGAAGTAATATTTTAATCAGAAAATAACTTTTCTTATTTTATGAGATTTAAGCAAGTATAAGATAGTTGGAATTGGGCAATAAATTGAGGATTATATGAACTTCTTAAAGTGCGTGAAAATGCGTGATTGCGGGGAAACGGTAAATGCGTGATTTTGCGTTAGAAATAGGAAATGGTATATGCGTTAAAATGCGTGACTACGGGGAAGGGGGTTAAGGGATAATATTACATTTACCTTTGTTAATTTACAGTAGTGAAATGCTCTTATTCATTCATAGAATAAACTTGATATTATTACAGAATGTGTTTTTTTTCCACAATTGAATTTACAAAGAACTATATCAAATGTTCTAAATGAACCCAACAGTAAACAAACTACATGATTATTTACCGGTAATTTAAAGATGAAATTGGGACAATTCATTATCTTAGTTGTGATTTAAATTATGATTGTGTCTTAATATGATTAACATCATATTTCATCTCTTTCATAGTTTTTGGGTCATATTTTTAATTGAATAAAAAATGCTTAATAATATCAACTGGTTTTTCTTAATTGGTTCTTCATAAGTATGGTAATTTGGTAAACCACAAAAAAATTAACTAGAGGCCGATGGGCCACAGCTGTTCTTCACCAGATTTCCTCCCTTGTAAAACCTATTGTGGCCTACCCTACCCCCAAGGGATATGATTTGGAAATTGGACAATTTAGAATCTACATTATCCCAGGATGCTTCCACATTAGTTTCAGCTTTTCTGGCCCAGTGATTCTTGAGAAGATGATTTTTTTTCCCTACATATCATAATTTTAAACTTAAATTCCCTATTGTGGCCCACCCTACTCTGGGGGGGGGGGGGGGTCATGACTGATTAATATAGAATCTACTAAAATCTTCACTACCCTAAGATGCTTCCACATAAGTTTCAGCTTTTCTGGCTCATTGGTTCATGAGAAGAACATTTTTAAAGATTTTTCCTAAATATTTCAATGTAAAACCTATATTCCTTTTTATAGCCCCACCCTACCCAAAGAGGTCATGGTTTGAACATTTTATTTAAAATCTACACTTCCCCAGGATGCTTCTACATAAGTTTAAGTTTTTCTGGCACAGTGGTTCCTGAGAAAAAGAATTTTACTGACCCTACCCTATTGTTTGTTTTTCTTGATTATCTCCCCTTGTAAGGGAGCTTGGCCCTTCATTTGATAATTAAAATTCCCATTCACCCAAGGATGCATTCCACCAAGTTTAACTAAAATTGGCCCAGTGGTTCTTGAGAAGAAGTAGAAAATGGGGAAAGTTTGTAGGCGTACAGCCAGCTAGACGAACGGACAACGGACAACCGTTAATTTCAGCTCAGGTGAGCTAAAAATAAAAAAAATCAGTGTTTTGAAGTAGGATATGACATTTATTTCTAAGGTGGGCCAATTTTTTTTTTCATTTTCTTGACTGCAAATGTCAACATGTTTAGTCTTCTGTAAAATTTTTAGCCCCTGTGCCATAACATGTCCATGTGGGGATCACCAATTTAGGGCACTTGAATTTGCACTACATGTTGTATTTTCCAGTGTAAAACTTTGATCTGTTACTGCAGTGCTAAGCAAGGACTTTAACCTTCTTAGAACTACATCTAAGATTGTATTGGCTATCCTTAAATAGGTGTAAGATAATAGATATCTAGTTCTCTTAAACAAGCAGCTCAGCTAGCAACTAGGTATTAAGTGTCAGATTTGTCTTTCATTAATAAAAAAGAAGTAATTCATCCAGTTATTTCGAACAATAAACTTCTGGACATTATATCTTGCTGCTTATACACTGTAATTTAGAAATAATTGAGCCAGTCAGTGAGGACATCTACAAAATACCTAGAGCTAAAGATCAACAACTTGCCATGAAACCAGGATATTGGAGAATTATGAAGTAACCAATAACATCAATGCTTTTCTCAGGCACAACATCAGCACAAATTTAAGCCATAGCACAATCAAGGCACAGTGCTACACCACCTCAGTAAGACTGATAGTGGAGTATGCTTCATCAAATCGGTCCAACCTGGTAACATACAGAAAAGCTGCAAAAGGAGAGCAGCATTCTTCATTTCCTACAATTATGGAATGACCAGCAGTGTAACTTAAGATGCTCAAAGATCTGCAAAAAACCAATTCTACAAGACTGCAGATGGAAGGCAAAGATGGCCATGGTTTACCATATTGTTTATTAATGTGCTGCAATAACATTACAAACCAACATTGTGCTGCAATACAACCATATCTTATATTCAAAGAAGCTTATTTAACAATACATGAATATGACTTCGGTTCCTGCTCCATTACTCTGGGGTCACCCCTAATAGCCCTTCCTACAATTGTCATGAGATTACAGAATGCCTTACAACTATTGTATATGCTGTCAACACTTCTATTTTGGAGGGTTTCAAGAAGGGGCAATCTAATTAAAATTAGATGTAAGATCCGCTTGCATACTCGCTACATTAACATCTAACAACATCCTATTAAGGGTCACGTCAGAGGTCAAATTCTATCAACCAATCAAATCGTCTCCTGCAAAATCATTGTATATTGTTGAAGCGAATAAGTCTAGAGATGTTCCGAACTTGACCTCTGACGTGACCCTCTATGGGATGTTGTTAGATGTTAGTGAAGCCAGAATGTGAGTGGATCTAACATCTAATTTTAATTAGATTGAAGAAGGGATAGCATCAGATCAATCAGCATGACTACTGTAGATCACTAAATTTTCGCGACACCTTTTTTTCTCGAGATAATCATTAACTCTTTATTAGCGAGACAAAATTTTCACGAATTGTGGTCATTTCTCTATATAATCTTAAGGAATTCTTTTATACGTGATAATGAATTTTTCGCAAGCATACCGTCTCGCGTAATTGCGTGAAAATAAAGTTCTCGCGAATAAAACGTGATTTACAGTATATCCATCAGTTGTAATTGTGCGTAGTACTAGAAAGGCTTTTAAGAACTGTTAGATTGAAGGAGAATTGTTTCCCATGGGCTTATGTTAATAGTCACTTATATTAATACAAGACATAACACAAGATATGGTCATAAGGTGGACTGGTATGCATATCAGCAGCACATTAAGGGAAGTAAATGGATGATAGAAAGACAAGATACTTTTGTTAGATATTTGGTGTAAGACATGTATTTCTATTAAACAAAAGGCTCCATGAAGGCCTGCTTGTCAACATTCAAAAAAATTATGTTGTTAATTAAAAGCAAAATACTGTAGATCACTAAATTTTCACGACACTTAACTTTATTTTCGTGAAATAGTCATCAACTCTTTCTAAGGGAGACAAAATTTTCTTAAAATTTTGGTTATCGCTCTATATTTAATCTTTAGGAATAATGATAAATGTGAGAATGAAATTTTCTCCAGCACAATATGCCATGTAATTGCATGGAAATAAAAGATCTCGCAGAAAAAGTGATTTAGTTAGTCCTCCATTTTTGTTATTTAACTTCAATTCAATAGAAGAGGAGGAATGCATAAAGAAAATACATGGCTACATGGACTGGGAATCGAACCTGGGATCCCTATATTACTGGTCAGGTGCTCTACCACTGAACACAGGCCAATATCTTTCATTCTATGGTCCATTATAGCCTGGAATTCTGCATTATTCCCTTCTTAGCAGTCCCCTACATCAAAAACACAAGTTCTAAGGCCCTGTCAGGGATGAATTATTTACAAATAACCTGATACTAGCCACCAAATCTAGTAGGAAAGGGTGAATGCATTTTCACTGGAACCCCCCCCCCCCTTTTTATTTTAACTTTAATGCAAATCTGGGACAAATATAGTAAAATGTAGGATATAAAATCCTAAATTAACTTTAGATATAAAATCAATATTCAAAGTTGAATTAACTTTTACTGTCTGAAACTTCGAATATATTCAGATATTATAGAATTTTTTCATCATGACCATCTTAACAACCCAAGGTGTGATGTTCTTATTTGGAATCTATTCTTGAATGATGATAAATAATATATAGAAAAAGTAATCTTAACAAAACCCTTACCTAGTTTTTCTTTGGAAAGTCATTTGTAAATGTCATTACTAATAAACATCAGCATCCCCATCAACAACGTCTCTAGGTCCACATTGAGGTTGTTTACAGGTTATGCTAATACCAGTAATAGAGAGGGAAATTAAAAATGTGCATAATACAACAAAGTAACATTGTTAGAATTAGCAAAGGAATATCCTTATTTTTAGAAATATTTAATTTATATTATATTATTGTAGTTTTGACATAATTACAAAAATAAACGGCTTGTTTTTTGCGTTTAGAAATTAACGCCAATTAGACTCCTCCTCTACTTTCACTTTTGAAGATGCACGATCCGCATGTGTAAAACAGTAAATGAATAAGGATTAAAGTTGGATTATCTGTTCCAATATTAAATCCATATGGATAAATGGTGGGTAATTTTTTTTTATCTATGGGGAAATATTATTATTAAAAGCAAAAGTGTAAACGTATGACTAAAATCTGTTCCTGGCGTATTGTATCGTCGTGTACCCTAAATTCGTCCGTACCCTAAATTCGTCCCCAAACTTCTCAGGACCAGCACGTTTCGAACTTTATATCGATGACGTCATTTTTAATTGTTATGACTAGTGAACACAAAAATGCAGCTTTGTCAGCAATTATTTTTCAGAATTTCAGTTTAAACCAGTATTAAACTTAAATAAAATAAAAAATACTTAGAATATCTGATTTTTCCTTAGGTCCATTTTTTATTGGAAGTGTACACGGCAGTTAATTCCTCAAAATTACTTCCAGATCTAATATTCCATCATTTTATTATTTTACACCTGTCATTGTATTGAATTACGTGCATGGGTTTTTAATTGAAGAATTTGATAAAAAGAAATCATCGCTCAAAAATCATAAGGATCCTATACACTTTCCATCTACGATATTGACGTTACTTGTGTTTGGTTGCCGTACTAAGCGGCCATGCGGGTATCCGTAATTATTTCAGGGAAAAATCTTAAGTCATCGCTGCAAATGATGGTCTCCACAAAAATCAAAGATTTCAACAGTCACTTTAACTAACAGCTGTGAATGCTTCCAACAATAGAAATTCTGTTGGTACTACAAATTAAAACAATTTATACTGTGCTGCTGATTTTCCCTTTTCTTGTGTGTGTGTTTTGTTTTTATTCAGTTTAATATAATCGAAATTTTTTCTATACAGGAATATGTTATTGAGACGGCAAATAAATAAAACCAAATGTATTAAATCAAAAATATTTCCCATACTTAAGAATTTATTATTACCCCCCCCCCCCCCATTTAAACATTAGCAATTAAGCATTGATGATCACATTGTTTGAATAGATCTATACTTTTGACCTTGCCCAGTCGGCAGACGCCAGTCCTCATCACCACCCCCCCCCCCTCCCCTTTGCTTGCAAAAAAAGTCGTTAAGTGGTCAAGTAATCAAGAAGAAAATATTTTATTTCTACAAACCAAGAATTTATCTTATTGAACAGTCCGAACAGTCGTTTTATTGAGCCGACCAAAGTAGGTGTATTGTTGTCACAACTTTCACCAGTTTGACAGGTGCTACGTCACGTGCATTGAAGCATAACTAATCCGGGCGTCTACTGGGTTGAACTTCACGATATAATCCACGATATAATCAAGTAAAACAAGATCTTTTCCGCGAACTGTTTTAATTCTCATCTACTGCAGAACTAGTAGATGAAAAGTTTTTTTTTTGTGTAACGTGATTATTTTACACATTATTAATACTTAGGTGATCAATTCAAGTCTACGCATTAAATTATAGTATTCCTATTTTGGTTTTTTTTTTTCAGATTGTGCCTGAATTGCACTGTTCAAATATTTTGATTTTCTATCGGTTTTTGCAAGTAAGGTCAATGAATTTTGGAAAATCTAAAATAAAACATTGTATAATTTGCATATATCAGGTAATTTGATGAGCATACATGACATCGTTGACAATGTTAATCTGAAAGCACGTTCGTGTTTTTTTTTTTATTTCGTTAAAGAAAACGGAGTCGTTAATAGCAAAAGCAATTTAATGTTCTTAAATTGATAATAAAAATTTAAAATTAACAATTAAAATTTACAATTTTTATTTTAATGATTTTCCAATCCTTTTTTAATCATAAATCAAAGGAAAACAAATAGACCAGTCGTCTGCGGCCGTTTTAAATCTGAAGGACGAAAATAGGGTATGGGTGATATTTTTAAGTGTAAAAGTTTGATTTTGTAGAAGAGTTCTAAAAATCTTGTGAAGAGTGGTAAGAAAAAATAATTTTTAACATTTAATCAGCAATTCTATTCTATAGCTAGCACTGAAGTTTGTTTATCAATTCGCACGCGCTCGGTGTTACTATGACGTCAAATGTCGTAAGGGGACGATTTATGGGTACACTAGGATATTTTCGACCTATTTAGATATTATTTATTAATTTATTTCAAACTTTACAGAATCTGAGAAAATATGGGCTTAAAATGTTAGTATATGTGTCTATAAATAAAATGATATAACCCAAAATGCAGTTTTGTGTTTATTTTATTTATACACCATAATATCAGTCCAGTCCAATACGAAAAATCGTAATGTTACGAAATATAGTAATATTACAAGAAATCGTAATATTACAGAATATCGTAATATTATTCTTATATTACTATTTTTCGTAATATAGTTAAATTACGGAAACTCGTAATATAGCAAGTTGAGAGAGAATATATTACGAGTTTTCGTATTTATGCAAGACAAAATCAAGCATTGAAAGAAACTGAATGATGTTTAGGGAAGTATGACGTCAGAAATATATTATGCCCCGATGGTACTAGTATCACGTGGTCATCTTGGTCAGTGACGTCTATCGAAAAGTATGGAAATGCAAGAAGAAAGTAACAATGGTAATGGGTGTGTGAACATTTTGTTTTATTAAACTTATATAAGAATTTTCCCAAGGATGGGAACAATTTTCCATAAAATTTCAATGTCTCCTCAAGCTTGTCACAATGGTCTATAATCCCCGAATTCCCTATAATTTTCCCAAAGTCTACCCTGAAAATCAGACCCTCATCTCAAATAACGAGATGTTACGAGAGATAACTTGTAATACTCTCACTAGGCCCTGAATCTGCTTGCACTTGGATCAAATGCACCAAAACAAAGAAAATGCACTAACCATACATATCCACGATATCATAATGATGAAACCAGAGACATATAATCTCTGATGAAACATAACAAAGAGATTGTATCAGAAAAAAGGGAAGTAACTCTTAGAAGAGTTAGAAATTGCTTATATTACGAATTTTAGTAATATTACGATTTTTCGTATTGGACTGGACTGAATATGGAGAGGGTGCAGTTTTCCTTACAAAAATATTGGCGTCTTATGTTTTCGACCTAAATACAGTATCAACGCCCAATCAGTATTGGCTATAAATATCCATTGGATATTCCAAACAATTAAAATACGATTGTCTGTCTTTCAAAAAAACATTGAACAAGTTGCATATTTTGGTTGCAAATACGTTTTATGCGTTTATTCGTTGGTTGAACCCATCTGTCAGTAGCTTTGCATTTCCACAAAAAATCATTGAAATGACATTGCATTTTTCAGTAAAAATCTGTAAGAAAGTGCCCATAGTTAAGGAAGAAAAAAATTCGTTTGATCCACCCATTCATTTCAATATTCATGCGTCTCTTTGACAGAGATCTTAATTTTCTTTCGGAAAAATGTCATCAAAAAATCTTTGTAATTAACCGATTACGGCTTTGATTAATCAACAGATAAAATGTGCATTAGTAAAAAGACTAGAATTTCTGACAACGGACTAAAACCGGAATTCCGTTAAATTAATTATTTTGGGTATTTTCACTACAGTTGTGCTTCTAAGGTATTTTTCCAAGTGTAAGAACCGAAGAAATTTGTTCTACCATGCAGTATCTGCATGGGAAGCAGATTGGGAAAAATAGGTCGAAAATACAATATGGTCGAAAATAGGATACGAAATGATATTAACACATCCATGCACTTTCGTCTGTCCACTGTCCCTATGAACCTTAATAAGATATTTTTTGTTTATGCGAAATATTTTGGAAGTTTGTTGTTGAAGCGACTCAAAATTGTGTTGTTTTGGATCAGACCAAGTAGGAACATACAAGGATTAATACAACTATTATAAAAGTCAGACTGTTTAATTGATCATTTTTTACTAGCTGTTTTGTAGCATATGAGTGCATGAGTCTAAGGGATCTAATAGTGTACCATCAATTATGTTTTCAGATCAAGATGCCCACTGTGATAGTGTTAGATGTTTCTCTGTCTATGAGTAGACCTGTTGTCATCCCAGACTGCTCTGAAGAATACCAAAGAAAACATTTAGCAATCCACGGAATCAACTGCTTCCTAGATTACTTATCCAGCAACTTTAAACTAGAATTTACCTCACTTGTAAGATTTAACATTGCAGCTGATGGTTTTAGGTAGTCCAAGTTCACTATGGTCAGAGGAAAATGTCTGCCTCAGCAACTATATTTCACCATATTAGCTGTTCCATTTAGGTCTGTTAAATGTAGTAAATATCTGACTTTTCCAGGCTAAATTTTCATGATTTTGATATTTTACCTGCCAGGAAAACATCAGAACCGGCGCCATTATGAAAATTGGAAATTTGGCTGTCTCCTGATGATCCATAGTTCATTTTTAGCTCACCTCGACGAAGTCGAGATGAGCTTATGCTATACCCCCGGCGTTGGCGTCGGCGTCGGTGTCGGCGTCGGCGTTAGCGTCGGCGTCCCAGGTTAAAGTTTTAGGAGCAAGTCCATTCCCAAGTAACTATAAGCCCTATCTGAACCAAACTTGCATGGATGATGCATCTAGGGATGTACACTACCAGACTTGCTTCGGATGCTGGATCTGACCTACATTTTCTAGATGAGTGACCAGGTTAAAGTTTTTGGAGCAGGTTAAAGTTTTTGGAGCAGGTCCATTCCCAAGGAATTATAAGCCCTACCCAGACCAAACTTGCATGGATGATGCATCTAGGAATGTACACTACCAGACTTGCTTCGGATGCTGGATCTGACCTACATTTTCCAGATGAGTGACCAGGTTAAAGTTTTTGGAGCAGGTCTATTCCCAAGGAACTGTAAGCCCTACCTGAACCAAACTTGCATGGATGATGCATCTAGGGATGTACACTATCAGACTTGCTTCGGATGCTGGATCTGACCTACATTGTCTAGATGAGTGACCAGGTTAAAGTTTTTGGAGCAGGTCCATTCCACAGGAACTATAAGCCCTATTTGGACCAAACTTGCATGGATGATGCATCTAGGGATGGACACTACCAGACTTGCTTCCGATGCTGGGTCTGACCTACATTTTCATTCCCAAGTAACTATAAGCCCTACCTGAAGCAAACTTGCATGGATGATGTATCTAGGGATGTACACTACCCGACTAGTTTCAGATGCTGGATCTGACCTACATTTTCATTCCCAAGTAACTATGAGCTCTATTTGGACCAAACTTGCATGGATGATGTATCTAGGGATGGACACTACCAGACTTGCTTCGGATACTGGATCTGACCTACATTTTCATTCCCAAGTAACTATAAGCCCTACCTGAACCAAACTTGCTTGGATGATGCATCTAGGGATGGACACTACCAGACTTGCTTCGGATGCTGGATCTGACCTACATTTTCATTCCCAAGTAACTATGAGCCATATTTGGACCAAACTTGCATAGATGATGTATCTAGGGATGGACACTACCAGACTTGCTTCGGATGCTGGATCTGACCTACATTTTCATTCACAAGTAACTATAAGCCCTACCTGAAGCAAACTTGCATGGATGATGTATCTAGGGATGGACACTACCAGACTTGCTTCGGATGCTGGATCTGACCTACATTTTTCATTCCCAAGTAACTGTAAGCCCTAGCTAAACCAAACTTGCATGGATGATGTATCTTAGGATGGACACTACCAGGCTTGCTTGGGATGCTGGATCTGACCTATATTTTCCATACAAGAGACCAGGTTAAAGTTTTGGGAACAGATCAATCCGAATGAACTTGAAGTCTTTGATATCTGCAGTTTTAACAGTTATGAATATTTGTTTGCACAATACATGTTTTTCACACTACACGCATAGAAATGTGTATATGCCATGTAGAGGGTTAAGCACAACTTGCAAGAATATTGTTGTTGGGATGAATACTTAATATTAAGAAAATATGATGTAGGATTTGCATTACTTAAACTGATAACATTCGTCGAGGTGAGCTTCGTAATCTTTGATTACCTATGTTTAATACTTGCGAACCCAACTAAATGCTGAAATCAGAGTTTATCAAAAGCATTAAATGCCTTTAGTACACTCACCAATATCGAGAAAAAGAAAATATCACACCACATTTTGGTACAGGACTTGCAAGATTTTTAATAAAATGCATGAAAATGAAGACAAATCTCGACAGTGTGATAAAATCTTTTCAACGGTTTGTATATTCTATAAATGAACCATAAAATCTATACCGGTATTGGTAAGTACTCTAAGTATTGTACTATCGATAACTTGTGTATTTAAAATTTAATTTGGTTCGCAAATATCTAATATCAACTCGAGAATGCTGACTCCAGTTGGAGACGGCAATTTCCCATGTTCATAATGGCATCGGTTCTGACGGTTCCCGGCACATAAAATATCAAAATTGTAAAAAAAAAAAAGCTTGGAAAACATCAGATATTTTTAACTAGTCTGTGTTGGTGACCTATTTCATACTTTTATCTTCAGCTTCAAACTCTTAACACTTGATGTTACCAATTTTAATTCTCAAAAGCACAGGATTTGGTTTTCATATACCTCCCCATAGGATTTAGTGCTGTAAAATCTTGTGCTTGATAAATTGAAAATGACACAAAATCAGTATTTCATTCTACAGAATTGTATTAAAATATTAGAAGCTGATAATGACATGTTTTGTATTTTAGTTGGTGTTTTCCTATCTGTGGGAACAGCTCGTTCCATTTACAAGGAACTATGAAACAATCAAGTCAGCTCTGAACAATGTGGAAGAGTACAACAAAACCTGTATAGAGGCTGGCTTAACAGGTGCTTCATCTGTAGTCACAGAGGAATGGAACTCTGTCACCCCTTCACAGGTATGTAGTGTCATTTGTAGTCACAGAGGAATAGAACTTTGTTACCCTTGCATAACAAATAAATCATGGTTATGTCTGCCCAAACTTAACATTGTGTTGTCTTACTTTATGTCATGGCTGCAGTTCCTAAGTTTAAGGTTAAGGAAATTAATCATGTGTACAGGTATTATCATCTGTAGTAAGAATGGATGCTTGTCACTCCTTCACAGGTAGAGGGGCCTTTATAGGCTTTGCAAAGTTAATACTATGTTTAAAATCACTGAAATGATTACCTAATAGAGAAATTGATGTTTTGAAAAAAAAAAAAAACAAATTGCTATAATTATAAAATTTAACAAATGAAAACTACATTCTATTGGCTTTAGAGAAAATTTGGGACCCTTACTGAAGTATATTTGGGATTTTCATTGGGCAGTTTTTTTTTTATATGACACATTTACTGAAAAAAAATCATTAAACAATAATCTCTTCATGTTGTTTCTTAATTCAGTATTTTTTTTATGCCTCCCTTTGAAGAAGGGAGGGCATATTGCTTTGCTGCTGTCTGTGGGTCCACCATCATTTTCTGTTCATTTTCTTCTTAGAGGTTGCACATACTGAAATGAAATTCAGTATACAGATTAATCATAAAAATATTGAGATCAGGTTTTTTTTGGGTACGATTTTAGACAGAGTTATGTCATTTGGACTTCCAATTCCAATTATTGGTAATTTGGGGAGGGGGGCATAAGTGTTTTACAAACATCTTGTTGTTAATGATTAATGTAAAGGAAGAAATATTAGAAATTTTTGTTTTGAATTTTTTCCATCTTAGGTTTTGCATTTTGGGTGACATTAGAACCATGTAACCATACAAACACCAACGGTACTGTTTGGCATGATTGAAAACATTTCTCGGCATCTACATTTTCATATTTTTCTTTAGAAATCCCAAACCTAAGCATTATGCTGATCTCTTGGTACAGAGAAAATGTATCAAAATGCGATTTTTTTTTTTTTTGATTTTGAATAGCAATGTACCAGAATATTGATATAATTGCACAACCCTATCTCTTTGTTATCGTAAAGGAGTATAAATCTGTCACTTACTTACAGGCACAGGTCCTTCACTAGATTGCTCTTAATTCGTATCAATATTCTTCAGATAGCATTTCTTGTGCAATGTTTGCCATACTTGGATTTTGTTGACTCTACTAAAAGTTCATAATATGAGAGTTGTCCCAAAAAACTGTAGGCAATGTTGATATTAAATTAAAAGATTTGCACAAAAATTAAATTCCTATTAATTTCTATATTTTGTCCATTTTTAATGGAATTTTAGCCTTTATATTAAATTTTGCAATGTATTATTAAAAAATGCTGATTTTTAGGGTGTACATTTACTGTATTGAGCTGAAATGTTTTTTAAGATTATATGATATTGAAATACAGAATATACTTGTTGAATTTTGCATTTGCATTTTAAACAGAGTAGTAGCCCTTAAGTTTCAAAGACTAAATTATCTCTTTATGAGCATAATGTTAATAAATAATACATGTACTCCATAATGATACAGAATGGTATTTTGTGATTGTCCTCTGTATAAACTGTTCAATTAAGATGGCCAGCTTTGTATTATATTACACAGGTGATTGATTTATTCCCATGCATTATGAATATTGTTCTTTTTTAGAAATACCGTAATCACTATGTTAGCTTGTATTTCATTGCAGGTTAGGTTGTAAAAAGACAACAAAATATGAATTATTAACTATTAAGTTTTATCTTAGTGCTATAAGGGTAAGAAATGAAATGATAATTAGCACTTTTTATCACAAACATGTAGAATGAATTTTTCTTAGATCAGATGGTTATAGTTCTGAAATGCAGAAGAATCAAGACCTTGACTGATGGCCCTTCAGCATAACAATTTAAACCACATGTTTTATGTCCATTTTATTTCAAACACAAAACCAGTGGCTTGCTATGATGAAGGCCATGTTAAAAAAGAACTTTTAACTAGTTTCTCTTTGAAAATTAATTTTTCTGCTAAAAATTGCAAATTTTGAACAGAATCCTTAATTTTCAAAGACAAAATTAAAAAAAAAAATCTTTCAAAATTCTTGTAAAAAACCTATAGATTTCTACCATTACATTTTAATGTTAATAAGAGAAAAGTTATAATCACAAGATTAATCTGGTCTGGTGTTAGTTGTAAGTTTCTTTTTTTATGTGTGAAACTAGACTTCTTTTCCTGCCAAGAATGTCTCCAGGGAGCTATATTTAGAATCACTGATATATTTTATAGATCAGGGCTTCATTCAATTTCCAGCATTACAGTTAAGTATATAATACCACTAAGTACCACTGTTACAACCTACAAGCACATGTGGAAACTCATGATCTTTGGAAAATATTGGATTCTCAGATACTTTTTAGCTCGCCTGAGCTGAATTTCTGATCACTGATTTTGTCTCTAGTCAGCCTGTCCACCTGTCTGTCCATCGGGCTGTAAACTTTTCACACTTTCAACTTCTTCTCCAGAACCACTGGGTCAGTTTCAACCAAACTTACCAGAAAAGGAAATCAAGTTTCTTCAAATGAGGACAATCCCCTCTTTCTAGGGGAAATAATTCAGAAATATGTGTGGTGAAAATTTGGTGGTTCTTTAAAAAATCTTCTTCTCAATAAACCAGGGGCAAAAGGAATTGAAACTTATAGGATACCTTCTTTACATAGTGCAGATTTAAATTTGTTCAAGTGATGACCCCTGGGTTTAGGATGGGGTCACAATTATGGATCAAAATTTTATAGAATAAATACGGAAAAAATCTTAAAACATCTTCTTCTCAAGGGCAGCTATGATTAGTCACATTAATCCTCAGGTAGTGTAGATTCAGATATGTTCAAAATGATGATGTCTAGTTGTAGGGTGGGACCACAATGGGGTGGGGGGTGTTCAAAGCTTTACATTGTAATGAAATAAATATGAAAAATCTTGTAAAATCTTCCTCTCGAAAACATATAGGCATTATTTAGACTTTTCGGCTTTTGGAAATACAACATAACATATGTACGATTTATGTGACGTCACAATCGGAACTTTCCAAATGGCTCGTGTAGTTTGCTTTTCATATACTCAAGAGAGTCTGATCATGTGACCAACTGCATGTCATTAAAAATTGAATTTCAATTTTATTAGCATTGTTATATAAGGAAAGACATCAGCAAATGTAAATATAGAAATTTATGGGGAAAAAATCCTTTTAAAATTTTCTGCTCAAGAACAGCCTAGCCATTACTGATATTGATATGAAAGCATCCTCAAAGTGTTAAATTCATTTCCCTCTCCCCCTGTAAACTTTCAATACTACATTGATTTGTTCTTTTCCTAAGCAATGTGCTCAGGTGAGCAATGTGGCCCATGGGCCTCTTTTTTTCCTAGTTTATCTTCAAAATATGCTTGTGTAATGCATTTTCTAAGAAACCAAGCAAACAGTTCTTTTTTTTGTTGAACCAGCCTTGTAAAATTACATCTTAATTAAGGGCATCTTAATTGCTGATAATAGAGTGTTTACTTCTTTAATGAGGCTATTCCTCACGTTCCTCCCCTGATCTTCAAAGAAGATGCACTAAGGTGAAGTTTACAGCTTTAATGAGTACAGTTTAATTATGCTTATGCTATTTAAGTCATCTTTTTATGCTCAGTAGTTTCATTGATGGATACATTTCATGCTGATTTTATTACATTAAGAGAAAGGCTTTTTTAAGATTGAAGATTCACTTTGAAAGTTATAACAAGATTGGGCCTGAAATATACATGAGACAAAGAATACACATTTATCAATAAAAATATCAATATTTTAAGGAGATATTAGCAATGCATTTTAACTGTTCAATGAACATTTTACCCGTTAAATTGATCTCCAATATTTTTTACCTATTCTTTCAATTCTGCATCCCTACTAGGTGAAAGATAATTATTAGTACTTAAAATTATTTTTAATAGTTTTAGAAGATATACTCCCATCTGAAGACAATGTGGTCTTGAGGGATTTTCTGGGTACAAATTTAGTATGGTTTTGCAAATTACTAAATAGCTTTTTTTATGTCAAATATATTAACTATTAATAGAAGTATTCTTTTCCCATGGTAATAACACACTTAGTACAAAATTTCCATAAATTTCGTGCCAGCATATATTTAATTATTATTTAGAATTTGAAGTAATTTTCCATCTGCGGATTAAACAGAGATGGTAATTCTTCAGAATTTTGACCCATGGAAAAAAAAGGTTTACAGGATATCTTGTTTGTAATAAGCTAGTTATATTTTATGCATAGGTAATCTTGGTGACGGATGGTAGAACAGGCATTGGGCAAAGATCTTTGAAAAATTCACTTGAAACATGGAACCAAAGGGAAAACGGTGATGAAAAATTCCCTCTACCGTTCAAGTTTCCTTGTAAATTGCACGTAATGATCATCAGCAGTCCGAATGACCCAGACATCAAAAGTTCTCTCCCCTTGTTTGAAAAACTTATTGAGATTAATGGCCAGGGGGGAGAACTGTGTGTGCCAGACAATGCCCTAACTTTACAATCTGTGGAAGCCATGTTTACAAGGATACAGGAGAAGTATTATCAGCCGTACAATGGGACGCTGAAATGTGGGAACTTCAAGTGTTCTGTACAGTTGTTCCCACCTCCCGATCCCTATGACTCGTAAGTTTATTTACTTACACTTATCTCATAGTAATTTTATGTTTTAGAATTTTTTCCGTTTTTAAATTGCTATCCATTTTCTACTGGTTTTGTGTGAACTTTTTTTGGACTTAATTTTTCTCTAGTTATTACTTGCTTTAATTAGTTGTTGGGACAAAGAGGAAAGCTATTAGAGATGTTAAAGTCTTATCATGGTCAAAGTACTGATGTAAGAAAGAAGAACTATAACTCGATCAAAAAAAAATTCTCTGAAAAGATTTGCATGGCCACACTCAGGGTAAACTGAATACAGACTTAAGTTAAAAATTTAATATTAAATATGTTGTGTTTTATTTAACATACATAATCAAAATTTGGCAGGTTGGTTTCATATTCAGGGAAAATTTAAGAAAATTATATAAAAAATTATTTTGATTTCAAATTTTGACTTAAGTCTGTTCTCAGTTTTTGGTCTGGGGCCCTGGTGACTGTAAAGGCCCATGTGCCTGCTGTATGGTAAACATTTGTCTGTCACATCATGAAATATGAGAAACCAAAATTATGTTTTTGCTGTATATTTTTATCAATAATTATAATTTTCTTTGATACTCATGAAAGAAAGGATACATCTGCATAAACACAACCTGATTCAGCAAAATGAAGTTTCAAGGTAACATTAAGAAGACACCCTCCAATTAAAGGATTTTGACCATAACTGTCTGGCATTCTCCTGAATGCAAAAAAGTTAAAGACCCTCAAAATACTGCTAATCATTTGCTTGTTCCTTGACAACTGACAGAGATCTGTCACAGATCTGTTTCATTATTGTCTTATTGATCCTTTGTACTGAGACAGGATACAGGAGTTTGAAGAGGTTCATCAACAAGTAAGCTCTAACCTAGAGATCCTGGGATTCATTGACATAGCAGACATTGCCAGCCCTCAGGCGCTCTCTAGACATCTGGTCCTACCTCTCCCAAACAAAGACACCAAGACTTCAGATAGTGGTATGTTTCAGATTGTTTGTTTGTAGTTTAACGCCCCTCTTGAGAGTTTTTTACTCAAATGGAGACGCCACCACTTGCAGATGGAGGGCTGCAAATTTGGACTTGTGCTTAGCACTAAAGGCTGTTAATTATATTGAGCAGTGAGGGGTCTTTTTATGCCAGAATCTTCTGCAACACAGGACGTCAGTTAATATGTTCTCGTCCGAAGGACAGGGGGCCATTTTACAAAAGGACTTACAACTTAAGACTAAATTTAATTCTGCAAATACATGTAACTATTTAATGAACATTAAATCAAAAATTATTTTGATCTTTTTAAAGGGAATGTGGTAAGATATTTTTACAAAAATTATTTTGGAGAGAATTATTAATTTTGGCAAAATTTTTCGTCATTTGAAGTTTTTAGTCTTAGTCATAAGTTCTTTTGTAAAACGGGCCCCAGGTCTCCATGTCCCACAGTGGGATTCAAACCCGCAACATAAGGATTAACTCCGTACTCTGCAAGTCTAGATCAGATTCTCAACCACTGTGCCACACAGGCAACTTGCAGATAGTAGTAAATGTCAGACAATGGTGTTTTAGGCCGTAACTTTATTTCAGTCAACAGTACATATTGAATAGTAAATTATTTTATAATGTCAGACAGTGGTATATTACAGTACATGTCAAATAGTGGTAAAGGTATGTCAGACAGGGGTATAAATCAGTTAATAGTACATGACAGATAGTGGTATATTTTAGTCAACAGTGCATGTCAGATAGTGGTTCCTGTCAGACAGTGGTATATTTCAGTCCGTGGTATATGTCAGACAGTGGTATATATCAGATAGTGGCATATGTCAGTTAGTGGTATATGTTAGATTGTGGTATATGTTAGATAGTGGTATATGTCACACAGTGGTACATATCAGATTCTGGTATATGTCAGATGGTTATACCTGTCATATAGTGGTTATGTCAGATAATGGTATATATAGTGGTATATGTCAGGCAATGGTATATGTCAGACAGTGGTATATGTCAGACAATGGTATATATCAGACAGTGGTATATATTAGATAGTGGTATATGTCAGACAGTGGTATCTGTCAGATAGTGGTACCTGTCAGACAGTGGTATATGTTAGATAGTGGTATATGTCAGATAATGGTATCTGTCAGACAGTGGTATATGTCAGATTCTGGTATATGTCAGATGGTTGTACTGTTAGACAGTAGTATATGTCAGAGAGTTGTATATATGGTGGTAAATGTCAGACAATGGTATATATCAGACAGTGGTATATGTTAGATAGTAGTATATGTCAGACAGTGGTACATGGCAGATAGTGGTATCTGTCAGATAGTGGTACCTGTCAGACAGTGGTATATGTCAGACAGTAATATATGTCAGATAGCAGTGTATATGAGACAGTGGTATATGCCAGTGGTTTATGTCAGTGGTACCTGTCATACAGTGGTATATGCCACATAATGGTTTATTTCAGATTGTGGTAAATATTAAATAGAGTTATATGTTAGATAGAGGTTTATGTCAGCCAGTAGTATATGTCAGCCAGTGGTATATTTCAAGCAGTGGTACATGTCAGATAGTGGTATCTGTCAGATAGTGGTACCTGTCAGACAGTGGTATATGTCAGATAGTGGTATATGTCAGTCAGGGGTATATGTCAGATAGTTGTATATGTCAGATAGTTGTACCTGTCAGACTGGTATATTTTAGATAGTGGTATATATCAGACAGTGGTATATGTCAGATACAGTGGAGCCTCATTAATCGTGTCGTTTTGGTTCCCAGTCAATTTGTCTGGATATGTGAAGTGTCCCGATATCTGAATTACCTGTTAAAAAAGTCAAAATAACGTTAAAAAAATATGTTCCGATGAAAAATCGTCTGGATACTAAAGCGTCCAGATATCTGGCATCTGGACACTTCATTATTGTCTGGATATCTGGCATCTGGATATCTGAAGGTCCACTGTAGTGGTATATGTCAGATAGTGGTATATGTCAGATAGTGGTATATGGTTATGTCAGACAGCCATATAGTTCAGTCAACAGTACATGTCAGATAGTGGTTTGTTTCTGCACATGTCAGATTGTGGTATATTTCAGCCAATAAGACATGTCAGTGGTATTTGTCAGATAATGGTATTGTTAAGGGAGGATTCTTCTCATATTTGTTGTATTAAAAAATTAATGAAATTTTCACAGATTCAAGAAGACAATATCAGTAAGTGATAGTATCAGTGAGAGTAAATTTGACTGTTTTATATTAGAGGCAAGGTCAGGTCAAGGTCATTATCTTTTTCCATGACATTATGAATAAAATAGGACTGTTGCCAATCATGTGATGCCTACTTTCAAAAAATTAAAGATTGTTTCTTTTGCCTAAGAAGATATAACTATATTGGGTCTATAGCATGATATTACCAAATTTACATAAATAATTAAACCAAACTGGATATTCGCTAATCCAAATTTTCTGTTTTTCTTGATTTTTTAGGATATATTAGTTATTTTCATATGCTTCCTATATTTAACTTTTTCTTATTTTCATATATAATAAAGTTGTCTTATAAATGTACAAAATGATACAAGAACAAAAAGTTTTATCGTTTACTAAGAGAGGAAAAGTACTTTTTATTGATTTTTGGCTCAAATCCGTACTTTGATTGGAAGCGTTTTAAAGCTTACATAGTTCTAGTTTGCTAAAAAAATAAAAACATATTTATTTGATATATTTTGAAAGTTTACCCCCTTATAATTTATTTAACTTACATTTGAAAATTTCTTCAAGTCTTTGATTATGTAAAAATTTTAACTAAATTCATATATTCTATTATAATTTTGAGATGCGGAAAAGAAGATATTTTCATACGCCAAAATTCCGCCAAAAAAATAGTCCCTGCTAGTTTTCAAACGCAGTTTACCATTTCTATTTAAAGTTGTACAATTTTGATGAGGAAAGAAAACTCTGGTCTTTTAAATCCTTTACACCTAAATATATAAGACATATAAAGCAAATATACTTAGAAGAATGTTTCATCTAGTCAGAAACCAGAGAAGAATCCTATCTTAAGTCAATAGTGCATGTCAGATAGTGGTATATGTCAAACAGTGGTATATTTCAGTCAGTGGTACATGTCAGATAGTTATATATGTCAGATAGTGGAAAATTCTAGATAGTGGTGAATGTCAGAGAGTGGTATATTTCAGATACATGTAGTCATATGTCATGTAAGTGGTATATATTATGGAATGAAATGGTAATTGTGTAGATAGTGGTGTATTTCAAATAATGTTCAGTTTCAGGGAGCAGTATATTTCAGAAAGTGGTACATGTATATCTTTCAGATAGTGTACACAAATATTTTATATAGTGTTCTACTTGGGACACTGATATATTCAAAGAAGTTTGTTTGTGTTATAAAGTGATAAATATGTCAATGTTTTAATGGTTATTAATTTCATTTCCTTAATATTAATTAAGAAATAAGGTATCATTTTTAAACATCCATCGAGCTATAAATACAGGTTGGTCACGAGATTGAATTCCATAAAGCCCGAAGGACTTTATGATGAATTTAATCTTGTACCAACCCGTATTTATAGCCCGATGGATGTTTTAAAATAATAACTTCTTACTTATATTTACATTTGTGACTTATTCATACTTTATATTTGCCTGATTGTGACTTTTAATGTGTGAAAATACGTTATTTTTCAAACCCAACAGCATGTATGTAATCCACTGAACGCGCGTCGACCCCTTATGACGTCACAAAGAAATTACGTCGAACGTTTATCTATATACTCTTCTGTGACCTCTTGACCCCGTACCTGTATTTATACAATTATAGATATGCATTGCTTTCAGTAGTGTTATATACAGGAAAACATTTGCAAATGTAAATATCTGATAAATATAATTTATATCATAATGATAATTTTAAAAGATGTAACAGACAACAGGAAGGGTGGGATGTCACTTGTATTGACTGCCAGCACATCAGGTAATATCTAATAATGTATTGAAATTACATGTATGTACTGGGTAATTTTAGAATAAACTGGTCTTAGAGTATTGTTTTACGTAACTCTCTGCATCTTATATTTTATGGATGATCTCCATCTTGTTGATCTAGATGTGGAGAGTAAAAAAGAGGAGGAAGATGTGGTGCAAGAAGATGGCAAGATTCCAAGTTTTACCGTTCTCCTACACGGAAGTCTCAAAGTGGAGGGGATGGTGGCGCTGACGCAAGTGGCGTAAGTATCAGAATAGGGAATTATGGGATCTTACATCATTTTACATCTTGATCAAAAATATATTTTGGGTTTCGCAAAGCAAAATATGGATTTGTATTTTTTTTAAACTTAATATTGGTTCCTGTCTATTATTTGCAGCTCTTACACTACTGAATAAAATCTAATGAAACTTACACTGAATAGTGCCATTGTGCAAATCCTATCTTAAATTTTTGATCAGATTTTGATATATATTTTAGAGTTTTTCCATCACAAAACATTGACTTTCCTATTAATCTCAATAAAGGGGGTAAACATTTTGTAAATGCAACTCCAATGAAACTTTCACAAAATCTTATAAAAGATTTTTACATATGCTAAGAAATGCACTTAGCTATTAAACTCATACTGGAACAGATGATATTATTTTGTGAGCTCAATTTATGCTCACAGTACCTCTAGGTTTTAAGCTCAGAGACCAGAAGAGATTTTGTATATTAGTATTAAAGGTTTCCATAATCAATTCATCAGTCTGTCCATTTGCCTGTCTGTAAACAATTTTTTCAAAGTTGAGGTCCAATTTCAATATAACAAGATACCTATTAAAGTACACTACACTAAAATGCATGATTTTTTTATCAGTTTTTTTTAATTTCGATTAACAGTGTTGCCATGGTAACTATAAATTTAAGTTTCCAGGAATTTGTATCGAAATGCTATTATACTACATTTTTGTCCAATTGCAATTAACTTTACTTAGAGACTAAACCAAGGATCATTATTTTTATTGCTGTTGCCATAAATTCAAGTATAAGTACAACAAATCTTTATCTTTATGCAATAAAATCCAGTACAATCTGGTCAGAGACTTCCTTGTCTTGGAGAAAAAAGCTCCTTCGTTTATACAGTATCATAGTTGCCAACTCACCCGATTTCGTCGGGTCACACCCGATTTTTCAACCCATAACCCGATTATTTTTTATGACCCGGCGGGTCATGCTTTTCACCCGATTTTTGTCAAACAACCCGAAATCTCCCCATTTCCAGATTTGGTTCGTAAAATAGGTTGCACTTTTAACTTCCAGTTACAACCCAAGCTTAGATCTACGTAAACAATGCCGATGGATTAATTATCAGTGCAGGTGTAAACAATTAACTGGGTGTTGTTTTGACAAATCAATGTTTGAAGTCAATTAAAATGGCTTCCGATTGAACTATATCGTTATCAGGGCCAGCAGGAACAAATTGAACCAAACACGTCTCTGATTGAACCAAGAAAATAGAAACAATATTTATGTACACATCAAGTAATCTTGGAAAAAAAACTTTCATTCTAGATAAAATAAAGTGATCGAAAACAGTGTAGGCCTAACTTCACATTTAATATATACATATTGCAGTAGTTAATTAATCAAGAGAGAGGAAAAATAACTTCAAAACTAAAATTGGTATACTTTCAAATTTAGCAGAAGCTGAAAAGGCTTTTTAAAAAAAAATGCACACTTACTTCAGGTCAATACTGAAATATGAAACCTTCAATTCTCTTTTTTAACATGTAAATTTAATCAAATTATGTATGAATTTTTTGTCATTGTAAATTAAAGCTTTTTCAATAAAAGAATTCTCAATACACAAATACTTTGTATATATATATAATTATGTATAAAATTTAATGATGGTAAATATGTCGTGAATGTCGTTACGTGTTATGACCAGATTTTTTACTTTCCAAATCTGGTCATGACCAGATTTTTACATGCTGGAGGTTGGCAAGTATGTACAGTATGAATAATGATTCAAACATTGCTGTGACAAAAATGATATGGATATTATGAAAACTATTGAATTAACAACTTAAACTTAACATAATTCTATCTTTTTAGATTATTTGTTATGAAATATATAAATGATGATTTCAGAGAGAATTGGTATGGGATTTTGTACTCCTGGGCAGACAGCAAGAAGAAAAGTAACTTGATGCTAAGCTTATTAGAGCCAGGTTTGTGTTATTAATTTTTTCAAAATATACAATGGCTCAGCAAAGCAGAGCATGACCTTGCAACAAAAGGCCAGATCTATAAATTAAGATAGCATTTAACATTGATCTTGTAGCAAATCATATATCACTTCCATTCGGCACACAAAGACAAATTACCGGGCAGGTGGGCCACCCCCACCCCTAAGCATGTTACTTTATCCTCTCCAACTCCATTGCATGGGGGAAAAAAGGCTATACTAAGTTAGATCACATGATATAGTTGTCAGTGTCTTCATGTAAGAGCCATTTTGAAGTTAATCAGATTGGTCCATTATACATGTACATAGTAAGTTACAGCCAGATTTTGTTTCCTCAAACTCAATCCGGCAAAAGAAAAAAAATTCAAACAACTGAGGATTTCTTGTATTGAGGTTTAATTGCATTTAAAGGGGTAGGGACTTGTAGTTCAATTTGTCATATCCATGTTTTTCAAGATTTGAACATCTGAGATTCAGAAGTCTGCTTGTATGTGGAATTCTTTTTTATAATCACTCAGGGAAAGAATTTTAAGTATTTCATGACAGGTAGCAACCCTGTGTAGCTGTTGATTTGTTGCTGTCAGTGTATTGCATTGTTCAATAATTAACATTCTCTCTCCAGACTGAATTTACATAAAGCTAATAAATCTATTTGAAGAACTCCATGCATTTTTAACTGTGTAGGAAACAATGAGAAACCTGAGATATTCATTTTTGTCTTCTGCAATTTAATATTTCAGGAGTAGGCATGGTGTGAACTCCCACACTTTTTTTTGGAAATATACCCAAGAAAAAGATACTTTTTAAGGCAATGTGGTTTAATGAATTTTTTTCTTATTTAACTACTGAAGCAAAAAAAGGAAAGAAAGAATGACTAACTAACCAACAAACATTTTAAAAAAGAACAATTTAAAAAAAAAAGATTGAATAATTTTTAATTAGACAAGAGGTGAAATTTTTTTTCATCATTAGACATAATTGATGGTATTAGAAGCTTCAGAAATCATTAAAGTTGATGTGATATTCCGTATGACATGGTAATGGTATTCTGTCGATAGTCAAATCAATCTATAAAAGCACTAAATTCACTAGAACCAATGCTTAATTATACAAGGAGGTTTGTTAAAGTGTTTTGTAGGTCAGGTGATGACGTCTTTTAATGATAAAACCAATTTTATTGATGTTGGGTTTCTGAAACAGAATACCTGGAGGGAAAATTGAAATGTCATCTCTGAGAGAAAAATACTACCACAATGGCCATATTTGTCGGTTATTACAGGAAGTGGCAGAATATTGTGTCTTACATAAATAGATGAGTGAAACCATTCTGACAATTGTGTTATTACCCAATAGTAGGCTAGAGGAATGCAGTCTCTAATGATTCTCTTTTTGAGGTCTAGCTTATACGATGTTTTGTGTTGTTTTTTCCCTGCAGCAGAGAGAGAGATAGAGAGAGTGAGTGAGAGAGAGCGAGAATACTACTTGCTAATGATGATCAGTCAAAGACACTAAAGGCCAGAGTAATGTTTCAAGTTTCAAAATTTAGTCAAAAAAATTATGTACATAATTGTCTGTAGCACATGCCATATACCAATGAAAAAGGTCTTTAGAAAAACGTTTTTCACCTCCAGTTTCACCTCAGATAGAAATTTAATTCCGATTTTGAATTTAACGAGGCCGAGTCTAATTTGAGTGTGCATGACTTTGTGCAGCTTTTTATTTTCATGCAGTCCTTAGTGCGACAGTACACCTTTCCCAAATATTATGATGTGAATTAAGGACAATAATTAGGAAAAAACGCTGAAACGGTTCTAACGACGTCACTGTTTTTGGTTTTGTAAGCAATGCACGACGCTGAAGAATGACACATGATTCGCATATATGTTTGTAGACGTCCATGGATATTATACTAAAAACTGATGACAGAACATCAAAAGAAACATATTAGCAATCTAAATATTGCTATTTCCACCAAAAAGAATTATCTGCGCCGATATATCATCTGCGCCGATATGTATTTATACCGCAATATGGCAATTTTATAGGTATTGGGCATCGAAAAAATAAATATAGTAATTAAGACCTAAATCAACATAGATGGTAAACTTTTTTAAAATTTCACAATTTGGTGAGTTTCTACAATAACTTTCATATACTTGACTGAAAAAGAAATCTCTAGGGCAGAAATACAAAAAATATGGAAAAATATGATGATTTGGCACTATTCCAACAAATTCCCATCGGGTCCAATAGTAAAATTTGACAACTTTTGAGATGGCCCCCTAAGAAATCAGGGTGGTAAACATTCAAGTTTTTAATGTGAAAACAATACATATAACAATAAAAATTAATTATCAAAATCCCTAGGGTAGAAATAATTAGACACTTGGCCTCGTTAAGTGCCATTTATTGTGTTGACTGAAAATTTACGTAGTTACGTAGCAATTCATTATCATTATAATCCACTCGCAGTGGAGTTGAAGGGGAATTTGTAACACCTTTGTATGTTTGTGTGTGTGAGTGGGTTAGTTTGTCCTTTGTGCGAAAGAAGTAAACGTAATTTGTATGGGGATCAATGATGAAAACTGCCTCCATTTATAGATATGCACTTTGAGACATGCACCGTTTTGCGATGCCCTTGTTTAAAATTTGTTTTCTATACAACATCATTATTCATTCTGAAAAATAAAAAATGTCCATTCTGTCAGGGAAAAAAAGTGTCAATTCTTTTGAAGAATCAAGTTTTCATATTCAGAAGCCTAGTAAATTTAGTGGATTGCTATAAATTTGAACACTCTCATATAGCTGTATTAGTTGAGTGAAATACAAATTATAAGAATTAACGGTCATTTTAGCTCACCTGAGCTTTTCTGATCAAGCGTTGTCCGTCCATCTGTAAACTTTTCACATTTTCAAGTAGGGTAGGGTCATTAAAAAAATCTTTTTCTCAAGAACCAATGTCCCAGAGAAAGTGAAACCTATATGGAAACATTCAAGGGTAATGTAGATTTTAAATTGTGCAAATCATGACCCCGGGGGTAGAGCGGTGCCACAATAGAGAATCCAAGTTTTGCATTGAAATATACAGGGGGAAAAAACTATAAAAATCTTCTTCTCAAGAACTAATGAGCTAGAAAAGATGAAACTTATTTGGAAGCATTCTTTGGAAGTGTAGATTCTAAATTATGCAAATCATGACCCCTGGGGATAGAGTGAGGTCACAATAGGTATTATAGGGGGAATCTGGTAAAGAACAGCTTGGCCAGAGTTACTCAGGTGTGCAATGTGTCCCATGCGCCTCTTGTTTAAGCTCTCAACTTATGCTGGTACACACACTTCAGAAGGTTGATCTCTGTATAACCATCAAAGAAGCAAATTTCTGCTAAAAGTAAAATACAGTAAAACTCGTTTAGTACGAACAAGGATATTGCGTTTTCACTGATAAAGCGAAGTTATCTTGGATCCCCAGCTGTATAAATTTAACGAATTCCTTATACGGATATAACAAATAGCAAAGTAATTTCACAGGTCCCGGCGACTTTGTTATAACCAAGTTTTACTGTATAATTTAAATATATTCAAATTCAATTCAGAATTGATAAATTGTTGCTTATTTGGATTTAATTGCAAATGACAAGTTCCCACTTTGAGGAACCTACATTTGCACACAAATACACATGCAAGTGCACACATTATAGTGTAGCTCTATATGATAGTATTTTTTAATAACTTTGAATTTTAAAGAATTCTTTTTTTTTTTTGTAGGTCCAGAGCCCATAAGTTGGATTGGTAATATTGCTAACCTGGCCCCTATATCTGACTTTACTGAACCCCCCTACGGAGAAGACGATAACAAGACCCCGTTTCCAATCCGACCGGCAGAGAAACACAGCTATGCTCAGAGTTGTGTTGTCTGGATTAAACCCTCTGGACTGCAGGTAAGCATTGAAAGAGGGGTAACTACAGTAGCAGTAAACAGGAGAAGAAATTATTTATAGGTCAAATTTGATATAAATCATGTAACCAGTAAAATGGGAAAATAAATTCTTATGAACATTGGTTATGAGTATTTATATGGTGATATGTTGTTGCATTTTTGTTTTGGTGTTTGCTAGGCTGACATACAGAAAGTGTTGAGACATGCCAGGAAGCTGCCAGAGAAACACCAGCAGTTTTACAAGGTAAAAAAGATGTAGAGAAATCATGGGATTATATTTAGTAAATTCATATTGTTGAAGATGATCTTGGTCTGATGGTTACAAATATTTGGATTATTTTTTCAGCAAATTTTAAATAATTTTGTTTCACATTTATTGCATATTTTGATGGGTTTAAATTTCCACCTTATTTACAAAAAAATATTTTCTTATAAAAAGTGTTTGTTGCATATGTACTTGTAAAGTTTTTTTAAAAAGGCATCTGAAATCAGAGCATGTCAATTGATATATTTTTAGTACATGTATTCCATAATAAACCAGTTACAATTACCTTATTCCTTTTACACTAGTTGGTACATGTGAATGCTTTTCTAATTTCAGGAGTTGAACAGACTCAGACGAGCTGCATTGTCGTTCGGATTTCATGATCTCCTGGAAGCCATGGCCTCCATGCTGGACAGGGAGTGTACAATGCTCCCCGGATCTGCTCATCCAGACGCAGCGCTCCAGCTGACTCATGCTGCTAATGCTCTGAGGAGCGAGAGTGCCACGGATATAGCACAAATGATCCTTCCCTTAAGAACAAATTTTAATCAGGATACATCTTGATTTGTTTCCACTTGGCAGGAAGTCAGTGTTACAGTACAAAAATGTACATGATAGATTACAATTGGGCATTGAACGGACAAAGATCCACATGCAAAGTAGAAATGACAGGAATGAATGGAATCTTTAGAGCTATGATGGAATATGTAGAATAACGACAATGTTGTATATTTGTTGTGACATTTTAACATTGAAACAAAGCTGGAAGAAGCATTTCGGGAGTTAATTAATTGTGACTGCCATCTTTTAAGTCTTTGTTTCTGTTGGTGAAATAAAAAGGCCAGAAAATCTGAATGACATGTTATTTATATTTAGAATGATATGATTTTATGTCCCCACACAATGGGGTATTTCTTCACTAATTCTGAATAGAAAATGGGTCATCTGTTGTCTATATTTCAGTTTGAAACAGATTTGCATGTTTTATCATCCAATAATATTCATAATTGTGATTTTAAACACAAAGTGATATGCCATGTACTGGAGATGTTAAGTATATAGAATTATTATTAAAGTATCAAAGAGGATGACTTAGTCCTTTGAAATTGTTTCAACAATGAATAAATACAGTGTTTCTTAGTTCATTTGAAAACTAGCAAGAAAGGAGGTCTCTGATGCATTTGTGACTGGACCAAGTAGATGAATCTTTAACAGTCTTGGAGAAAAGTTGAATTCGGATTCTGAAATTTTCTTTTCTTGTGTTACTTTTTTGTATAAAAATAACATACTTAAAATCACTCTTTAAGTAAAACCACACCTTTTCTAATTGCATCTGTGTCATAATTGATGTCATAAATATTGTTTCACTATACATCATAGCGAAAAACATAAACAAGCTCTAAAGCTGCATGTACATTAGGTACTTTATTTATGTCATTGAAAATGGCACCCCCCCCCTTAAATACACAGTGACTGCAAAAAATATACTGCACTCTTCTATAAACAATGCTACCCATTGTAGTGCATGGCAAATTATTCAATCAAAATAAGCATAGTTGGTTTTTGTAATTAAATTCAAATTGTGACTTTTTTTTTAAATAATTGTTTTCAAAAAAACAGACTGGATGAAATGTTTTATTCACATTTAATTAATATATGACTGCTCTCTCCAGCACTTATGTCAGAGGGCTTTTTCGACAAATTTGATTGATAAATTTTTATCGAATGACTAATTTGGGTAAGCGAAAATTATTCTGATAAATGAACACTCCACTTTGACTGATGAGTAATTTTATTTTTATTTCCAACCATAGTAATGCTTCTTATCTTCATATTTACCTATACTTATATTGCACCACATAACAATGTAATGTCAATAAAAAATTCATAAGTCCAATTTTGTTTTACATTATTTTTGTTTATTGAGAATAAAGTTGGAACAAAAACTTTTTTTTAAAAATTATTTTTCTTTTTAAAAAGTTCGGGACAGACTGGAAGCTCTTAAATAAAAGATATGAGTGCAATGCTGCAGTGCATCTCATTGTAATGGCTTGAGAGGCATACTGCCTTCTTAAAACATATTTGGTCAATTTTTATTAAGTTAAACAAAATACCAGTAAATAGGAATTTTCCTGTGTGATTGATAAGTGAACATTTTAAGAATCAATCAAACAAAGCGCCCATTGTAGCACAATCAAAGACACTTCCTAGTACTGCATGCTTAGCCTATAGTGTCTACTTTTAAAAAACATATTTAATGTATCTTTATTAAGTTAGGCCTAAACATTAAAATAAATAGGAATTTTCCTGTCTGACTGTCGAGAGAACACCTTGACACTCATTCAAACAAATTAAGCGCCCATTGTAGAACAATCAAGAGCGCTTTCAGAGCTAGGGCAACATGCTTGGCCAATTAGCAGTATTTGTATAGTGAGAGAAACTCACACTACGTGTAAGACCAAACTTAACTTGAGTGAGCGACTCTAGTCTTATATAGTATACCAACTTGTAATCCGTTAATATTGCCTAAACATTTGCATAATCGTTTTGTCTACGTTGTTCAAAGGGGCATAATTTGATTATCGAACTTTGTAAGAAACTGACATTATGCAAATTTTGCAACATACAATTAGCCGCAAGAGGAAATTTGTATATAAAGGGTGACTTTGGAGGGGGGATGGTGGGGAATGTTTCTAAAGGGCATTAACTAATTGTGCTTGCTAAAATACAAGTATAACTGCACCATACTGCACTCTGCTGCAATCAGTGCAACACATGGTAGTGCCTAGCAAATCATCCAATCAAAATAAACTTTGTCAGGTTGTTAGAATTAAATTGAAAATTTGACTTCCGGTGACACCTGTTGCCATGTCGTGATTTTTGGAGGAGCGGAGAGTTTACGGGAAAATTCGCTATAATTTACATGTGTGTGATTCAAAACATGTCTACATGTCATTCGTAAGTCTATGAACTAATATATTCTTGATATCAACTTTCTTAGTATTTGAAAACCTCTGAAAAACAGTTTCCTTAAAGGTCAGCCATTGTGTCTTGTGTCTTTATGAGCGATGTTCACTTATGAGTCGCCAAGTGGAAAGTAAGCGCAAAAGATCTCTTAATAGCTCTTCTGAAGAACTAAAACCCTTAAGAAGACGCTTCAATTCCACATCTCTTCCCAATATTACATCAAGTGGAATAGATATGGCATCTAATAGTGTATCAGCGCCAGGTGTTCAACCCAGTCCCATTGTTCAAACCAATCCCCTATCCCAGGGCTTTGCTACCTCCTCACCTATTATTGGTACAGTTGGGACCCTGGATACCTCTGAGGATAGTTCATCTATAAATGATTTGCCCCAATCATCTGCTATAAATGACATAATTATAAAGACTGTCAGCAGTCAAGCATTTATTGGGTCGCTTGTTCCTCTTATTGCAACAGCTTTAGCACCTCACATCCAAGTCATTATTCAGAGTTGTTTACACTCAATGTCTGAAACCATCAAAACCCAGCAAGAAACAATTAAAAAACAAGCCGATGAAATCAAAAGTGTTCAAGAAATAAACTCTGACCTTGAAAAAAGAGTAAACGACTTAGAATGTGGCCTTGATGACCTTGAACAATACGGCCGAAGAACATGCCTACGCTTCCATAATGTCAACCTTACAAACGAACAGGCCCAGAACACTGATGATGTTGTTATTGATATTTGTAAAACAATGGGTGTCAACATTGTACCTGACGACATCAACAGGTCCCATCCCATCGGCCGCCCTAACTCCAACAATCTTAGGCAAATAATTTGTCGGTTTCGCAGCTGGAAAATCAAAAACAAAATCTACAGCGCGAAGAAAAATTTAAAGGAAAATCCACAAAATCCCAGCAAAATCTTTGTTACTGAAGACTTAACTAAGTACAGACAATTTGTGGTTAAAAAAATTATAGAAGCAAAAAAAGCAAACAAACTGCACAGTTTCTGGACATATGACGGTAGAATCTATATTAAAACCGAAAAAGAAGGCGACAGAATTCAAATAACATCGCTGGATGACTTGTATGAACTAATTGAATAAATGCATCAAACATGTGCCTTTAAATAGTAGATCTGTGTCACACGGTGAAAGTGAGTTCTACATTTATAACGTTATAGACATGTTTTAAACATGATAATATAAATTTTCCATACTCTCCAATACCTGTGTATTGTTTTGTTCTCAGAACAATGCTGTTATGCATGCTTTGTTTATTTACAATCACTGTCAGTCTTGTTTATATGTTTGCTTTGACTGACCTGCAAGTACTTGTTCTTGTAACAAGCTTTAGTTCATTATATTCTGTTTACTGTTTGTTTTTTACTATGATTACATCTGCAATGGGTTTCAGTTTGTCTAGACAATATCAAGGTCTTTATGTTTGCAATATTCAACTTTGCTGTTCTTTGCGGCTTTATTTTCCTATTTTTTACCAACCCAAAACATTAGTTATTACCGATCATGGGTAATACTCTTGAACAATATCGAGCCGCAATTGGAATTTTTTACCTCCGAGATAGAGGCACATTCAAATCCATGAATTACTGTTTTTTCAGATTTGTATATTTAGTTTGGCTTTTGCGGAAAGCTTACCAAGTTTGTAAACAAAAATTCAAAGTTTGTATGAAACATGCAGTATATTTTCAGCATGTCAATTTTCTTTTTCAACTTACGAGTATATTATTAATGCTGTCTGGTGATATTGAATCAAATCCTGGGCCTACAAATAACTCTTTCCATACTTTAGATATTTTTCATATAAACATAAGAAGTATAAGAAACAAAATTGAAAATTTAATATCATTTGTCAGTGATTTTCACATTTTGTGTTTTACTGAAACACATTTAGATGCAAATATTGATGATAATGCTATTTCGATTGAGGGGTTTTCTACAATTTTTCGCAAAGATCGTAACTCATATGGAGGCGGTACCCTAATTTATGTATCCGATTCACTTCGAGCCTTAAGACGCACTGACCTTGAACCTTTGAACACGGAATGTATATGGATAGAAGTTAGTGACCCTATAAGTAATATTTACCTTTGCTGTCTATATCGGCCTCCGAATTCTGATAAATCCTTTTGGAAAAACATAATGTGGTCCATTGAAAAAGTTTCTGATATATCCAATAAGATAATCATCCTTGGAGACTTAAATGTAGATTTTTTAGATATTCCACGCACTCACATTGTTAACGAAATTTTGTCTCAGTATAGCCTTAGCAATATTGTCAATGAAGCAACGAGAGTCACGAGTAGTTCGAGCACGCTTATTGACCCAATTCTGGTCAGCTCAGACATCAAGGTGCTCCACTCTGGAACTGTTCATGTTGATAATATTATAAGTGACCATAAAGGAACATATGTTTTTGTTAAATCATATGTTATTCAAAATCAATCATACGAAAGAAAGGTTTGGTTATATAAGCACGCAGATATGGATAAGTTGAATTCTCTTATTGAAAATACTGATTGGAATACCCTTATAAGTGAGGCACCTGATATAGATCAAGCAACGAACAATTTTACATCAACATTTTTGAATATAGTAAAGGAATGTATACCTGAAAAATCGGTTGTAATTCGTCCGAAAGATAAACCCTGGTTTGATTCGGCTCTGCGTAAAACACATAGAAATAAGAATAGATTATTTAGTAGGGCCCAGAGGACAAAAAGAAATTCTGACTGGGAAAAATATAAGAAATGCAGGAACAAGTTTAACAATATGAAAAAAATCGCCATTGAAAACTATCATAATAACATAGAGCATCATATTACAGACGCAAGTAAAAATAATTCCAAACTTTACTGGAAGTTATT